TTTGCATTGTATGAGAATTGCGATTTTGTGTTGCCAAGTATGCTATGCTAGGTAACTATTACTGGGAACAGAGATGGGGCTTTCCCATGGGAGAAGCATTTATTACATGATATGGATTCTCAGGGTAAAATGGAGTCTGTTTGGTCATTGCCCATATAGCCTGGCCCATAGCAATAAGAACTCAAACAACTTCCCCCTGCCAACCACCTCCTTCAAAAAGTTAAACATAGCCATCTGTCTATGCACCAATCTGCTCTTTTTTTTCTCTTTTTTACAATAAAATTGGCATAAATACCTTCATTTAAAGCCATTACCTATAACTGTGTAACAGGGGCTCACCTATAAGAGATATAGGTGCTTTGCCTATATCTCTTATCACTACGAAAATTACATGTTTTTTATCTTTTTCCTTAACCTTCTTCTTCCTGACCTTCTCCTCCCTGATCTTCTTTTCTTGGATCTTCTCCTTCTGATGTCCCTTACCTAATCTAATTTTCTCTGTATCACCTCTTTAAGAGGCCCCTGTTCCTACTGATGGGCAGAATCACAGCCTTTAGGACAGGAGGTACCTGTGTTTCTCCTTTGCTAGCAAAACAATAAAACTTCTTTTTCCTTTTTCTCAAAACCATGTCCCCGGTATTGAATTGGCATCAGAGACAAGGATCCACCTTTCAGCACACCTGTGCTCTGAATTCTAATACCTTCTGAATTTTCATCTTCTTAGGAAACTTAGAGGCATACCTTAGATCCTTTTCCTCCTGCTTATTTCTTTTTAGTGTTTAATCTTGCCCAAGACTTTTCCATTTGAACAATTAAAAGTCTTCTAATCCCCACTATTAATCACAAGCTACTATGAATTAAGAGTTCTAGAACTTTCAATGAACTAATATAGCAGAACCCTTTACCCTTGTATACACTATCAACTTAACCCCTAAATATTTTTTTAAATTATACATAATTATTTGAGCTAATTTCACTACATTAAATAAAGTTATTAAGGATGCTCATGCTTTGCTTCTTTTTTTTTTGAGAATTTTAATATTTATTTTTTAGCTTGCGGCGGACACAACATCTTTGTTTGTATGTGGTGCTGAGGATCGAACCTGGGCCGCACGCATGCCAGGCGAGCACACTACCGCTTGAGCCACATTCCCAGCCCCGATAAACAGCAAATATAAGATAGAAATAGTTTCTGGTGTTTATTGAATATAAAGTACTGGGTTGAGAGTGTAGCCTGGTAGCACAGTGCCTGCTTTGCATGCACGAGGCCCTGGGTTTCATCCCCAGCACTGCAAAACAACAGACAATAAAAGAAAAGCAGAATACCCAGAGCCAATTTGTGTAACTGTTAGCTTTGGTGGTGGGATGCATGTGTGAAAGAACATGGCAGACCTTGGTGTGGCCTGGTCTCATGGTGGCTGTTCTGTTGCCTTGACCTATACAGAAATTCAGAACAGATAATCGTATGTGCTGGATCTTTCCTATTTGTTGTCATATTCTTTGTCACTTTCTAGTTCCAGCAAACCCAACAGTTTGGATGATCCCACTAATGCTTCTCTCTGACCCTTTTAGCGGTTTGCAGCCGTAATCATGAGGATACGGGAGCCGCGGACCACAGCACTCATCTTCAGCTCTGGGAAAATGGTGTGCACAGGAGCCAAGAGGTAGTTGAGGGTTTCCTCTCCTGTTGCACAGTCTCGTGGCTTCTTGTTGTTGAGCTCACACTTCAGCAGGTTACTTTCCAGTGCCACCACATTATGGTTAACCTGGCATGTGATTCTACTCACTTCAGATAGCATTGGTTTCCTTTTGTTAACATTATCATGAGTTTAGACACATGTTGCAGCACTTATTCATCCATGCAGTTCAGTTGCATTTGGGGTAAGATAATGCAACATCAAAACTGCTGATGAAAAACATCCCTATGTAAAAAGTTTCTGAATATCAAATTCATGAAGAACTGTGGGTTAAGAGAGACAGATGGTAGAAATCTGTGGGCCAGAATGCAGGAATGCAGCAGTTCTGGCAGTCTGGCTGGTGGAAAGACTGCTTGGTAGGTCTGCAGTTTGTGAGCACACAGCAGTACTCGATGATGTTGTCAATGAGGGTTGATCTGAGTGAAAGGTTTAGTTAGTTTGCTAATTTGGACTTTTTGTGTTACTCATCTAAATAATTATTGCAGCTGGCTTCAATACAAATAACTTGCTTTCCCCCTTTGTCTAGTGAAGAACAGTCCAGACTAGCAGCAAGAAAGTATGCCAGAGTTGTGCAGAAGTTGGGTTTCCCCGCGAAGTTCTTAGATTTCAAGATCCAGAACATGGTGGGGAGCTGTGATGTGAAGTTCCCCATAAGGCTGGAAGGCCTCGTGCTCACTCACCAGCAGTTCAGCAGGTAAGTCTAAGGTGTGCTGGGTAGCCTTCGGCCAGAAGTCCATGCTGAGGTAGTGTGTGAACACAGGTGTAGTACTGGACTGCTGCTGTTGCATCTGCCTCTTAACCTCCCATGTTACTGAGATGACTCAGTTGCTTTAATGGAATGAACTGTATTCCACTTGTGTGTCCTTATCATTTTGTTGCTCAGTCAATACATTTTAAACACACGGATAGGAGCTACAGTCCCTTGTGTTGCTTTTCCTGCAATTTGATGCTCTTCTTTTCATCAGCATTACATCAGACCTACGAGCAGAGTCACCTCTAGTTGTCCCTGCTGCTTGCTGTTGCAGACTCATGGGGCAGCCCATCATGCAGCCTCATCTCCCTGCTACCATCTTCTCTTCTCCATTGACCACCACACCACTTGAGCTCCGCCCCTTGTGCCCCAGGGGCACATGTTACTTCCCTGGTACAGTTTCACTTTTCACCTGGGAAACTCCCCACTATGCCACTCAACACACAGACACAGGGTGACATCCTACTTTCATTCTCTGAAGCAGCGAATGTGAGAGACCAAGTTCATTGGGTAGCCAGCGTCACTACGGGTAGGTTCCTTCTCAAGCTGCCTGGCCAGTACTGACAGCTTAAGGAGGCAAGATACCATCAAAGGCGGTTGTCACTCTCAGCTCCTAGAAGTACATAGAAACTGTAGTAAGTGGAGATGTCTTGCCCAGGATGAATGTGGACACAGATCAGGGAGCAGAATATAGACACAGCTCCTGTCTTACACAGAAAACCCAATTCAGTAGAAAGAGACAGGCACAGGAGGATGGCCAGCTGGGCTTCCATGTTGGACACGGTGGCCTGGCCTGGTTTGTGCACCTGTTCAATGCTTCCCTTGTTCAGTCCTCATTCCATCTGGAAATACAAAGCTCACGACTTCTAACTTGTTTCTGCCATTTTCCTTCTAGTTATGAGCCAGAGCTATTTCCTGGATTAATCTACAGAATGATCAAACCCAGAATTGTGCTCCTTATCTTTGTTTCTGGGAAGGTTGTGTTAACAGGTAAGGTGCAGTGGGGAGCAGTATTTGCAAGTGTGAGTTTCGAGGGTGGCTTTTCTGGTGGTCCTTAGCAGTTGCCTTTGCCCTATTCCTCTTTCTCCTACCCTAATGCTGCCAAGAAGCGTGTGGACCCTTTGGAGGGGAAGTGCGGCAGCCTCCAGCAGGGAAGGGGCAGGATGCCTATCTTTTGTCATTGGGGTTAGCCCTGTGACTTGTGACACTGAGGCTTGTAAACAATACCATTTTGAGGCAGCAAAGGAAGACTGAGAAGAGCTTGGCTGGAGGCAGCCATCAAGGTGACAGTGGTTCTCCCTGCCTGCCTTGTGCCTGGTGTCATCTCCAGCTGCATTGCCTAACAGTGCATATTGTTTTAGAAATAAACTTAGAACCTCGGCAAGGGGCCCTGCCAGTAGTGTTTCTATGTCTGCAACTGTTAATTAACTGGGTTTGGAGAGAATGGTACTTGGAGTTTTAAAGAAGTGATTTTTCTGTCTCACACTGCTGAGAGATGCCATTTCACACTCTCTGCTCCAATATGTCCTTTGTAGGTGCTAAAGTCAGAGCAGAAATTTATGAAGCGTTTGAGAACATCTACCCCATTCTGAAGGGATTCAGGAAGACTACGTAGTGGCTGCCACCACCATACTTGCCCCACCCACTTGCTTTTCAGCGAATCAGCTTGGTACTGTTCCTGGGCTCTTTCAGGTGCAGCCTGCTACACCAGGCCGATCTTTTGTGGCCCTCTGCAGGATGTGGGAGGGGCTGCTGCTGCTCTGGGCCTCCCGCAGCACTGCTGAGAGTTGCACGCCTGTGCTGCTATGTGGGCGACGCCGCCCATTTATTTATATTTAGATTTCAAACACTGCTGTTGGCAAGTTGGTTGGTGTAAGGGACAGAAGTGTTAAAGCCACCTGTACAATTGGACTTCTTATTTGTTTAATTCCCCTGCCCCCATAAACCTCAGTTTTTATATTTCTACCAGAAAAGTAAAAAATCTTTTTTAAAAGTGTTGTTTTTCTAATTTGTAACTTTAGGGGTTATTTTTTGTGCCAGACACATTCCGCCTTTCCAGTATTGCAGGACAGAACAGATGTATTAATGAAAACAAATGGCTGTACATATTTTTCTTTCTTCAGAGTACTCTGTATAATAAATGCAGTTTATAAGAGTGTTAATTGTTGTTATGAATGATACCTTCCACGAGTCACGTGGTCTCACTGTTTAAAACACCTACTTTAGACACAGTGCCTGAGATAGCTTTGGCATCTGCCTCTGTCTGCACTTGGCATTGCATTCCTGTGCACAGGGCCCGAAACCCACAGTTCTTCAGGCCTGTTCCTCCTCTAGAGGTGGGGCTGCCTTCTGCAGGACCCACTTCAGCTCACAAAGCTGCTGAGGGGCAGAAGGCCTCATCCTCCAGGCGTGGGGCTGGTGCTTGGTGCATCGTTTCTATTGAGGGCTTTTTATTTTTCATTTTGAGACAGGGTCTTGCTAGGTTGCTAAGGCTGACTTTGAACTTGTGCTAGTCCTGCTGCAGCCTCCTGAGCCAGTGGGGTGACACCACGTCCAGCTAGTAAAGGCTTTTATTTGTTCTTTTCAGATGGACATAAGTTCTTGGGTTTCATTACGTATTTTTTTTCCTTTTGTAAACCAGAGTATGTATAGTAAAAAATACATCACACACAGCTCAAGGAATGTAATCAAAGAGACGTCTGCCCTTCCTTGCCCCTCTGCCTGTTTCTCTGGGGTAACTATATTCCAAGCCTTGCCCTCTGCAAGTCTGTCCTTTGAGGGTGCTATGATACCACTTTTGGAGAAATATATTAAGGTATGTGTTTGGTTTTGTGCCTTTACAGTCTGTTGAACACATCTCCAACCTGCATTAGTTGCACCATGGTCATTCCTGTTGTGTCCAGAGCTCACTGCTATACACAGGGCTTCAGGGAGTGCTGCTGTTTTGGACAAAACTCTCAGATGAGAACTGCCACCTTGAAGGTCATTTATACATTCTTAGTGTTGATAGGTCATACCAGGTTACAGCCCAAAGGCAGCAGTGTATAGAATACCCTTTGCTTGTATTTCTGTCACATGTGAGCATGAAACCAGCCTTGGCTACTTGTCTACAGATGGACCAGAAAGAACGTGGCCCATTTGAAGCCAACCATTGCTTGCCTTGGGCTGCTCCCTGGCAGGCAGGCACTCTGTCCAGTTCCTTGATGAAGACAGACTATGGCGTCTGTCTTCTCTGTAGGCAGGGCCCCTGGCTGACAAAGGTCAGTCCTGGATGGTGCCACTTTCCTTTCAGGCTCTGTTGCTGCTTTAGTTCCTGGGTATCTCAATGTGTACTGTCCTCAAACAATAGTCCATTAGAATTTTACCTAACACTTTCTTTGCCTTTGCAAATACAGGTGGAAAAGTGCTCTGAGTGAGATGGTTTGACTTAAAAAGGCACAAAACCCATTTTATTATACAAGAATAGTACACAGTAAAAAGACTATTTCACTTAGTCCCACTGTTCATAGGTAAACCAGTTCATAGTTGGTGTGCAGCTTTATATTCAAATTTATATTTTTGTACATATACATGTATAAATATTTTTACAAAAACACATATCATGATATAATGGTCTCTTGGTGTTAATTTAGACCTCCCGCTCATTTGGTATCCGTGTTAAGTGTGTATCATTAATAACTTTTCACTTGGATGTACCCAAATTCACGTAATTCCATTACTGGACATTGTTTTAGAAATATTTAACACTAAACAAGGCCCCAAGCCACATCTTTGTTCCTCCATCTCTGGTACAGTTACTTTCTTAGGGATAAAATCAGAGATGGAATTGCAAGGCCGTAAGATGTTAGTAAACTTTTTTAGGGCTTGAAGATGTCTTTAAGGTGTATCTGTTACATCCTGCTTCCATACAAATTCTTCTGTGTAGCCAGTGCCCAAGCTACAGTTCTCGGCGCAGGTGAAGACAGCCAGGATGCCCCAATCAACACTCTTGCCCAGTCTGTCTGCCTTGAGGTGGTTCAGGAGCTGTGGCATGACCTGGGGAGGGTGACATGGGGGTGAGTAAGATGCCTCGTGGCATAGAACACCATCTGCTCCCATCACCACAGGGCACTTTCTGTATTACTACTGTCCCATGGGCACCTGCTATTTTGGTAAAGTTTCTAAATGTTCAAAAACAAAGCAGGGTGATTATACACTAAACAGTCCTAACTTAAGGCCATACCTGGAATTCAAATATTCTCTTGGCACCACAGGGACAGTTGGGAATATCCTCCTCTTGAGGGATGTTTTCACCAGAAATCCAGATGGGCTCAGTACCCCTGCCGTATCTGAGAATCTAAAATCAGCAAGGACCACATTCAAGCAGGAACACCTCACCCAATGGTTTCCAGTGGTAGAAATTTCTGATTTATCATCTAGGGGGCTGCACAGGCTCCACAGTGTGTGATGTGGCTCTGACCTGAAAGGCAGTTCACGGTGTGTACGGTAATGCTGCCTCAACTGGCTCAAAGCTACTTTCCTACATGATGCCTTCTCTTCCTAGCCCATCAGAATCCTCATCTAGGAAGTACATTGTGAAGGGACTAAAGCGTGTGACTCCCCTTCCTATACAAAATGAGTTGGTACTTACCTTCAAACACATGTAAGGAACTTGAAGCATTTCCAAAAGGACAAATACCTAGTGAAACACGGTGCCTATAATAAATTCATTGAAATCAGCTTCCCAAAACAATCAAGTGGCTGTCTTGTTAAAAGCAGAATCATTGCTAAAAACCACCTTCTTGGTGTTTGTAATATAGGTCAAGGTCAAATCCTTCCTATAAATTGATTCCGGGACTGGTTTTTAGGAATATAGCTGAGTTATTTTAGGTATGTATTTGTGGTGAAGGAAGGAAGTTATAGAGGAAAGTGTTTATCTGTTGGAGAATTGGCTGTGTGTGTGTTTGTGTGTGTGCACGCGCGCGCGCTTGCACACAGCCAGTGGTGCCTAAATGTCATGTATCTTAGGCAACACTGCATCTCTCATGGCTGATGCTTTCTTTAGAAAATGAATCCTGTGTGATAAACAGTATACCTTTAGGAATTCAGGAATGTGAAGTAGAGAATAAGTGCAAAAGCACCTTTCTATGTGCCCCATCTGTGCAAATACCACAGTAGCAAGATGTCTGTGGACTTTGAAGGAAGAGACTAGCTTAGGAGTCACTTCTCAGGAACCACACTCACCAAACAAAACAGAAGTGAAGAGGTATAAATTCTCTTTTACCTGCTCTGGTTCAAGGGCTATCTGAGCTTTGAACTTCTGGAAAATGTTATCTTCCCTGGATTCATGCTTTGCCATGGAATCCAGTTCTTCCTCAAGAGCTTCATCTGGAAAAGCAACACAGTGACTTTACAGAAACAGGAAAAATCCCACATGGCAACAATTCACACATGTGAAGGGAACCCAGTTCTAACGAACAGCTTTCCCTGTTAACTCACACATTAAAACTGGTGCTTATTTCTAGGTGCTTCATATAGTAGTACATCATTACTATGCCTGCTCCCAAATTATAGACGCAAGCCAAGCACCCTGCCCAACACACAGGACACCTAACCAACGTGCACCCTCCTTATGGCTACTCTCAAGTCTCCTTGCACACACACCCAGTCACCCAACACCCATTTTCTGTTGCACACTCATTCTTGGGATTCCAGCCACCCTGAGACTGGTGGCTGCCAAGGCAACCTTTTGTCTGTAATGTATCAAAACACTCTGATCAATATTGACTTACATAGGCTGAAGTAACACTTCACCACTAATAACATCACAAGAGCACTAATTAGTGGCACTCACTGGCAAGATGGAAGGAGGGACCAGAGCAGCCTACATCCAGTGTAGGAGAAAGCTTCAGTGTGACCTTATATGACATTCTGATGTTCCCTCTGGCTTCCTGCCAACCTCTTCCACTAAGGAACTCCAAACCTAGGTTCAGGATGACATCCCCCCATGGGACACTTTTTTTTTTCTTTTTTTGCATTTTGTTATGGAAAAGGTTGAACATGTGTAAAATTAGAAATACTATAGTGAATGAGTGCCAACTAAAACTTCAAGGCCCCAACTCAGTTACCCTGAATGAACCCCAGACATCTCACTATGAATATTTCAGCTACCCACACCCTTGAAAGACACAAATTTTCCTTTATTTACAAATTCCAAAGTATCATCCTTGAGCCATGCAAAGTGTTTTAATACTGGTTAGCATTCTTATGCATGTTCAGATTATCCTGTGCCACTTGGAGCCTTTTCACATTAGTTCTTGAGTTCTGACACGGCCCTATTAGTCTTTGCTCCCTTGATCTCTGGAAAACTGTTCCAACACCATTTGAACCTAGCATCTTGTGCTTTTTTCCCCTATTCTGGAACCAACCACTTGTCCAAAGAAACTAGTGTTTGTTTTAAAGAGAAATAGTATTTATGCATCAAGAATGCCTATTGCTGGGCTGGGGTCATAGCTCAGTGGTAGAGTGTTTGCCTAGCATGTATGAGGCACTGAGTTGGATTCTCAGCACCACATATAAATAAATAAAGGTTCATCAACAACTAAAAACATACTTAAAAAAAAAGACTTCCCACTGCTACTGAATTGATTGTTTTTATTTCTAAGCCTTTGTAGCAGATTAGATAAATCAGAAATTCACAGCCATGCTTTCAGTATAAACTCAGACCTAAAGGATGTTCATTTAATCTTACATTTTCCATCTTTCTTCCATGCCCAACAGACCAACATGGTGACTCATCTGCTTTATTCCCTAATACACAACCATCTCAAAGTAACAGTAACACCAAAGCTGTCTTTTCTCTATTGAGGTAGATCCTATCAGGGAGGTACTGCTGAATCACTGTTTCCCAGGAATGTAACACAGTGATAAAACACTTGACAGGCACACACAAGGCTCTCAGCTCAACAGTACCAAAACAACAACAACAAAACCCCCACTATGTTTCTAAGTAATTTAGAATAGTTTTAGAGTGGTTATGAGACTAATTCATTTATTTTTGATTAGTGACTACTTTTAAAATTTAGTTTCACTTCATGGTTATATAAATCCTTACATGCGATCCTTATATAGTGGCAGCTATATGAAACAAGATGCCAAGCCCAGCCTTTGCCTTCCACCCCTCCCATTTTCCTGAAGGAAAGCATTTTCATGACTCAATGTTTAATATTTCTAAAACCACAAGCAATAATGAACACACATACAAATACATGCACCCCCACTCCCACATTTTTCTACACCATCACAGCACCTGAACTTGCTTTGGTCGTCACAGGGAACCTGACCTCCCTAAGCAGTATCTGGGCTCCTCCACAAGACAACCCAACACTGGAGGTTGCTGCTTCCCACTGTATTCAACAGCAGAAGCAAAGCACAAAGCAGGACTCTCAATAAGAGTTCTGGACTCTATGAGCTGACTGAACTGTAAACCAGAAAGCTGACATTCTTAGTTTCAGTTTCTGTAATCCTGTTGAAGTGGATAAGAGTTCAGGTTTTAGAGTTGGCAATAACTAGGCTCCAGCTTGAATGATAACACCTATCAGTTATTTTGACCAGAGCATGTTATACTCAGAACCTCAACTTCCTCACTAGCAATGTGGGACAGCTTCAGGATGTCATTGAGAATGTGTACAGATGGTCCCTCAGCTGAGTAAGTGCTGGGTACTCATCAGCACAGACACTACCCAGAGAATGAACTCCAGAGAAGCTGATACGAGCATGCATGTAAAGCTGGCAAGATGAAAGAGAAACCAAACACCACCAGGTATTCTTACTATCTCCATCTGGGGGACAGATCTGGGACCCAAGATAATCCTCCAAATTTCCAGCACCCAGCATCTTTTTTTTTTTTTTTTTTTGTAGTATCGGGGATTAAATCCAGGGGTGCTCTACCACTGAGCTACATCCCCAGCCCTTTTTATTTTTTGAGACAGGGTTTCATTAAGTTGCTGAGCCTATCCTTGAACTTGCAGTCTTCCTGCCTCAGCCTTCCGAGCAGTTAGGATTCCAGGGTTTTGTTGTGGTACCTGACTCACGCCAGGGAGGTACAGGAAGGGTATTTTCACTCGACAGCTTATGGTCTCCAAATAGAGTCCGTTCCTCTCAGGACCACTTTTCTTGACGTACTGAGCCCTTTCTACCATATTTTATCATGAGTACCCATGCCGACTCCTTACCCATGCTTCCTGTGATCTCAAAGTCTTCTTCCTTTTCCACAACTTCAGGCACAATCTCCTCCTCTGTTTCTATGACAATTTCGAATTCAGGAAAAAGGAAGTTGTGGTCTGGAACTGTATGGTCCAAATGATCTAAGACAAATAATATTAACAACATCATAAGTAACCATTTTTTTTGAAGACAATCTATACATTTTCCATTTCTAAAGTACCGCCTCATGTCCTTGAGTGATTTCATTGTTAAGCCAGGACAGGATGTGCTCACAAACCTGGGTGGGCAGGTCAGTCGGCTGACAGCCTCATCATGCAGTCAAAAGTCATGACAACATAAGAACATGAGGCTACTGCTGGCCTAACTCAGCATACTGTTTTATGGTAAGTTGCTTTTTTAAATAGGAGTGTGCTGTAAGACAATAAGAAGTAAACTCATAAACAACAGTTACTTGTTATCAAGCAGTCTGTACTGTGCATGATCACTGCAATGCTGTTACACAACTGGAAGCACAGTAGGCATATTTACACCAGCATCACCCCAAACACAGGAGTCTTGTGTTGACCACTAAGCAAAGTATTAAGCTCCTGTAGACTTCAGGGATCACTATTGCAGGTTGCCTATTGTTAACTGAAATAATGTGTGACTATATTATGTTTTGCATAGTAACAGTTTTCCCTACTAAATTTTGATATATGTAGTGCTGGTATTTTAGATTAGGATCACAGATTGTGATTAGAGCAAGGCTGGTCACACAACATTGATGAAGACTTTACTGTCACTCTTATGAAAACATTCCTATTACCAGCAATGAAGTTTCTGAATTGTATTCTGGTTTCCAATGTAACCTGGAAATATTTGTGTTGGATGAAACTAAGAAACAGATTAAAAAAGAAAAAAAAGGACTTACCTTGGGTACAAGCCTGCTTGTGCCCCAACCTCCAGTCTAGCGTCTGATGCTCCTTACTGCAATAGTGTGCTTGGTGGCATCTGGAACACGTTTTAGGGCCTAAACAGCCACAAACCCTGCAGAGATGAGCGCCCGACTTAAGTTGGAGACACACAGATTCTGTTTCTGGGGAAGGGTTCTCGGATGGTGGCTCATAGGAGTAAAACTCATTTTTCCTGGGTAGCTGATTCCTAAAAACTAAGAATGAAGAGAAAAGGAATAAAAACGTCCAGCGACACAAAACAGTAATCCAAACATATGAGTCTCGATGCCATATGCCTTGTAAAATGATTTACTCATTTATAGAAAGGCATTCATTTAAAGCTGGAGAATTTCGCCACTCGCGCCG